TTAATTGATGATTTTGACAATTGTAGTAATTTTTGCATCCAATTTTTGGGCATGCATACATATCTACATATACATAGATATACATACATATGTACATATATGTAGTGGGTTTGTGTGCGTGTTTAAATTTTTAACAATATGCTTTTAGTGCTAGCATTCGCAAACAGGCGTTTTTTTACACAATTGCATACATAAAACCAAATGTATGTATGTATGTATGTACATATGTGGGGAGTCGTTCTTTTGCGAGTAATAATAGAGTGCAAATGTGCTGCTTCAAGCCGTAAGCGGAGCGTTTCAATGAAAGTAATTTACTTGAAAAATATTCGTAATTAAATGCATATAGTAGACACGATTTTTATTTTTTATGAAATTTATTTTCTAAACTATTGCGTTTTTCATACGCAAAGTTACAATTGGACGGCTTGGCTTTCTGTAGACTTATAGCATTTGGCCGGATGTGTGGTTGGAAGAGTTGAAAAGTTTAATTTTTTTTTTCAATAAATTTTATTTCAGCTCACCATTCTATCATGCATGAAAAAATTTTGGTTTGATTTTGCTTCATCGGTGGTTTTGTGTAACTTTATTAAATATGTAAACGTAGAGTGTGAAACATTTTATTTTACAAAGAAAATATATACACCCGATATCAAAATTATAAGCGCACCAAATATTAAAAAGTTTTAACAACCAGCCTTATCATGAGTTTAATTTTCACCGAACCGGTCCACTTTTCGTTTCCGTGTACTTAGTACGAGCGGATGGAAAAATTTCGGGCGCATTTGCTTTCGGCTGAAACTTGCGATAAGACTGAATTTATATTTTCGTTATTTAATTTTAATTATTTTCTTCCATACAAAGTATGTTTGACAACGAAAAAAAATTCCAAAAATCAACAACAAGCCCCACCTACTTCGGAAAGGTCTTCATTATATTGAAATTGAACCCGCTACAATACTGCATATTCAAGATTTTTATAAAAAAATCGATTTAAAAAACTTGAAATATATACGAAAGTATGTTGAATTCTTTAAAATATTGCACAATGTTTGAAACACGTATAATTAATTTTCTTAATTAAAATTTAATAAAAAAAAATAAGTTTTAAAAATTTTCCAATACGTGATGCACTCATAATTTTGACATGGGGTGTACATATTTAATTTAAATAGTATTGTAAAAATATTACTAAAATTATGTTATTGAAATTTTACAACTAAAACTGTATTCAGTGAATTTATGCTAAATGAATAAACCTAAAAGTGATGTTCGTAAAAATACGCAAGCAACAACAAACAAGTTTTTAAAAATGCATTACTTTACGCATATTGTTATTGTTGCTTCTGGAATGTTAAAGTAGTAAGATCAAACTGATATGTCTGGTAACTCTTGGCTTGTTTTTTGTGGCTTTGTTGCACAAATAAATAGTTCTTCTTAAATCAAAGCTTAATTAAATTTAAAATCAAAAGAATTAAATGAACACATGTAATATTTTTTTTTTAACTCAAAATAAATGATATAGTAATATTAAACTAAACTAAAAAGACTGAATTAACATATTTATTAATTTAGTGAATTTCTTAAAAATTTAGCGAATTATAATGAAAGCATTATTGTATTAAAAACATATTTACCGTTAGCTTGCAAAACTTGAAAATTATACAAAAAACAATAGGCATGTTCATCATAAGTCATAAATTGTCTATAAATGTTATAAAATAATAAATTCGTAAGGAAAACCAGTTTATTTATCATTTTATCACGTTTATTGGCAGTTTATCTCCTAAGATGAAGACGCTATTATAACTTAGTTAAATGTAATATTTTGAAACATATTATTAATGATGCAAATTTGATTAACAAGTTATTTAAATCAGCAACTTTCGAAAAAAATGAAAAGAGGCGTGAAATGGATACTCCGGCGTATTCATTTCATAAATTTACCAAGCCTAAAACACGAAAAAAAGCTTAGCTTAGATTAGGTTTGATCCAGTTAGAATAGGTTAAGTTTTAGTTTAGTTCAGGCTAGATAGCGTAAAATTAGCTTACAATAGTATAGGTTGCGAAATTCGGCTGCTAGCCCTACCCTTTAATGTTTTCAATCTAATACGATCATTTGCAGAATCCAAGCAGTTGTTGCAATCCACTTTGCTTAAACACTTGAAATCTTCGAACAAGTAGTTCCACAACAAAGTACTGAATAGATTCTTTATCATATCCTACCACCACAGTATGTCAAATTTTATTGCAAAATTAACATGAAATTGTAGAAATCCGATCATAAAAAAGCTCAAAAAAAGTTTGCACAAAAATACCTTTAGATCAAAAACTTGAGACTTATGAAAGGGCGCGCTTTAAATACCGCCAAAGGAAAATTAAAAGATAAACGCCCGATCTAACCCCTTCTAAATGAAAAAGTATACATATGTATATATATAAAAAAGTTAAAATTGAAATCTAAAAATAGGTCACTTTTGTAACCAAAACGGCATCTACGGAGGGTTGTAAAGCCCATACACACAACTAAACTGTGCTAAATTTTTCATATCCATCATCTAGGACACCTTGTACCTAGACCATCCGTCCACCCCTTCTAAAATGGAGGGAAATGTTTTTACAGAAAGAAAAACACAAAAAATATTATCTACCAAATTGGGAAGCTGTATCTTCCGGTTTCGACCGGAAGTGGGCTAAAGTGACCGGAAGTTATTTTTTTTTTTTTAATTAGATAAATATAAATGTTTTTACTACAGATTTGGATGCTAAGTATAAAAATACGTAAAAAATGGTTTAAACTTTTATCATGGAATTGTCTGTTTCGACTTCTAAATGGTCTTCGAACTTCATATCGTCCTAGACTTCTTAAATGAGAGAATAGTTTTTATTGGAAAACGAAAAAAAAAAATGAATTACCGTGTCGGAGATGCTCTAACTTTTGTTCATATTACTGAGTTCCGGTTTCGACTGGATGTGGCTGTGTTCAAAATTTGAGACAAATCGAAGGCCAGAAAATCGCCACTTTTAGGTTACATTTATTATGGAATCGCCGCATAAAAAAAAAATAAAAAAAAAATTAAAGAGCAGTACAAATGAAAAAGGAAATCATTACATATGAAAATAAGCCAAATATAAGATTAATAAAATGAGTGGATATACTTATGAATTTAAACAAGCTAATTACATATTTTATGAATTCATGAGTTATGAGCCAGATTAGAAATAACAACAAAGATAATTATTAGATACATAATATTTAATAATTCAAAAAATCCAGTTTTTAAAAGTTAGATAGAAAATAACTAAATAATAAATATCTAATTTTTATTTTTTTTTTGCTGTTATAAAAAGAAATTATGTGAACTTATGGTACATAAGGGGAAAAAAAACAATTAAATTTCAGTTAGACAATAGTTATGCATTTCAGTATCTAAATAACTTAAAGTTAAAAAATTATTAAATAAACAAAATAATATACATAAATACAATGTACATTTCAACAAGTTGTGTGTTCATGATGTATACCATAAAAAAAAAGAAGCAATGTGAGCAGCTTGTTATTTTATTATGTAAATATTCCAGAGAAAGTTCACTACACACATTGCTCTGCTTATTCCTTTTTGAAATTCAGTATTTATGCATGTTTGCTGTTTGCATTTCCTATCATCGTTCTGCATAAATCTTCATTGTCTATAGTTAGCGATTCATTGTTTTGTTACTTCAATCAGTTCTTTTGTTTTATTCTTCTAAGTGTAAATGTTGTTTGTGTGTGATGTGTGCGTGTTGAGTTTAGGTGTTTTTATTATTATTATTATTTTATTTTCGTTTTGTCTGTCGCTCACTTCTCTTTAAGCTCAAAATGAATCTTCTGAAATATGTCCTAGAAGCGATCCTTGGATGTTGCACTATACTCGAGCTCATTTAGATTTTGTATTTCCTGCAGCTCCTGGAATTTCTCATGATCCCTTATGTGCGCATAATTGGCGGCTAGACACATTAGATAATGTACCAAACTCAGTATGACAAGCAAAGCAGCCAGTGTGGCGAGAATGAACATAACTTCGGCATTCTCGACGCCATCCTTGCAGAAGGCTTTAATCTCATATTTGTCGCAGATTTTCATATCTTCTTGTTTGGTGTTGGGCGGGAACATGAAATCTGCAAGAGAGCAAGAGAAGGAATTGTTTATTTAATGTTTATATAGTTAATTATGAAAAGTTTATCATTTATTGAGAACATTAGCTATTTAATTAACATCTGGATGCTATCTAAATTAGGGTGGTACTTAAATAATAGCAACATTTAAATTTAAAAAATTTTTTAGGGGCGAGTACCAGGGTTTGAAAATTTTTAAATTAAAATACAAATAGCGAGAACTGGACAAAATTTTGAATTGAAATTTGATAAATTTGAGATATTATTGAAAATTATACATAAAAACTTGCCAAAGGTAACTTTTTTTCGAATATTTGCAATTATTAAGAAATTTTTAAATTTCGTGCATGTCTTTATTTTGTATGTAGAACAAAATAACGTGCTACCTTATGATGTTGATATCTTAAGGCCCACCCTAAAAATGCCTATGCATTGGTTCTCGACGCCTAAGCAGTGATCATCCCTCGCTAATTAAATAATTATGCAGACCTCCGGAAACGTAGATTTCTTTTGACGTAGGAACATCATCAATGTTTTCAAACTAAAAGCGCAGTTAGTCAACGACGTAGCTTAAACGTAGGTTGACGTACGTAGCAGCATATAAAATTTACTGTTGAAAGAGAGAGAGAAAAGCAACGGCAACGTCACCGCCATGCGGTGGTGAGTTTTCGCCAACACGTGCATCCCATAAGGCAGATCGTGTCTGCGTCAACCTACGTCTACGTTACGTCGTTGACTGTTTGCGCTTTAAGGCTCAGCGACACATTCTGATAGTCTGAAGTGACACTGCAGCTGAAACAAAGCAGCAAGTACTTTGGAATACAAATCGATAGCAAACTGACGTGAAGCCTCAATGTGGACGTGTAGGCGTAGCAAGCCTCGGTTGCGTTCTATGTATGAAAAAAAGTATGCTGGGCTGCATAAGTGTGGGCCATATCGGCTTCTCCCTTTCACAGGATCCTCACGACAATGGTCATAAAAAAGAATAACACTTCTATCATCGAAGGCATCTTCCGCTAGCGGGACTCTCTGCCAAGAATATAGTATTTTCGCCTGGTTTAAAGCTACAGTTTTTTCGCACGTCCTAAGGGTCACAGTAATATAGCAAACAACTCTCTGAACGGGTTGACTACGTTATTCCGGGCCTGTATTTTGAAAGGAATTTCGGAGCCACCATTCAGTTTGAGGACGACTAACACTTTAAATTTTTACACAGATGGATCGAAACTGGATAAAAGCGTAGGTTGGTTGGTTGTAAGACCCCCCCCCAAGACCCAATTAGTGCTTGTAGAACAGGTATGATTCGTCGGTTTCTTCAAACCATTTGGATGTTCCGATAAATTTATTTAGGCTAGTAATGGTGCATTTGGAGATCTCCCTAGGATTTTGGATAGTAAAACTCCCTAGCATTTCATGCGTTACTCGTGCCAATGCTAGGCACTCGCAAACAAAGTGTAGGATCGTTTCCTCAGTTCCCGCAAGATCACAGCTACGGCCCCGAGGGTTGTACGGAAAGCCTTTTTTAGCAGCGTGTTCGCCAATGGACCAATGTCCCGTTATCGTGGCTGTAAGCTGAAGTTCTTCTGTCTTTGGTTTGTCATAATACGGACATATATTCCTCGCAGTTTTTCATGCTTGAAGGTTGTTCCAACATACATATATCAGTCATATGTACGGATTGCAAATGCAGTTCTCATTTGATGAGTACGAGTAGACAGTTAATTATCTCTGCTTCGGATTCATCAAGAGATGCTCTGGCCTTAGCCAACCCATCAGTCCTCTCATTTCCGTGTATGTGGAAACCCAGATGGGTAAGATGTATATTAACTCGGCCTATAGTCGACTTAAAGTTGCCGGAATATTGTAGCATTTTCACTTCCTTAAGAAGTGTGGAAGCGTGCAGTACTATGGTTGAATTATATGCTGGTCGAATTATGTATACGCACCCAGGTGCCCAGGATTATGTATACTGTGCTGCCAGTGTCCAGCCCATAGCATGGTGCAAATTAGTCTCTGGCAGTAGTTTTTCTGGTAACATCTATAGCGTTCATTGTTTTTTTCCAAGCCCTGCCATAGTTAGAAAGTCTAGCCTAACCTATAGACGGTTTTAAGCTCGGGTCGAATTTGTATGAACACGAATCTAGAGACTGATGTACAGAACAAAGTTGAAGTAAAGAAAGGATGGAAGCGACCATTTTTTCTCGACGCTCAAAAATAGTATGTCGGTTGATACTTTTTGTAACTTATCAGCATTAATCCGGAACCCAAAAATTACGAGTGAAAAGAAAATCGATAGTCTGTTCTAGAAAAGTAAGTAGTTTTCTACGAAAATACGGAGTTTGAGTTTCCAGGCAAGGGCTGCATTTAAATATGTTCAGGTGGGATTTTTATAAGAATTTTAGTAACTCAGCAAAATGGTAAACTATTTTCATTTCAAGGTTATCAATAAAAGGGCGTTTCCTTTATTTATTACTTCTGCCAATTTTAGTTCAAGGAGTGATTCCTTCTAAGATGGATATCGTTTGAAATAAATTTTATAAGCCAGTATTGAATTTTTTTACGAATATAACATATGCACACACATACCTATGTATAAGATTATATTGAATTTTTACTTACGAAACTGTGTTAAATCAATGCAGCTGAGCGAACGTTCCACACTTGAGCACATATTCCAGAACATCGTATAGATAAAGGTGACTATGACCAAGAAGCATAGAATTAATATCCAAACAAAGTTTAGCAAATATGTGATGCCCATGAACTGAAAGAGAAAAATATAGAAAACCAGTGTTTTGGTTAAATAAAAAGATTTCCAAAAACCTAATATTAAAAAATTTCACTTTTCAAATTGCAATAAATATGTTATAATGTACATATAATAAAATTGTAACAGGCCGATGTCTGTACATTATAGACATTAAAGAAACGCTAATATGGAGGTCTTTATTGGAGCAACAGAAGTCATAATCAACAATTTTTATAATTTTTTCTGTCTGTCTGTATGTTTGTTGCATCACTCGAAAACTAATCCTTGGAATTGGTTTTCACCGATTTATTTCTAGAGGTGTAATCTAAAATATAGGGGAAAAAATAGAAAGTTGCCACCTCTTCGAAAATTGTTCTTTAAGATAGGGTAAATATTGCAATACGGCTGTCAAAAGAAAGAACTGTTAGCCGAACATATTTTTGTTGAAGGTTGCCAAATGTTTGGTTATTTAATTGATAAAAAATTGAACATTGCAATACGGGTATCAAACATTACAAAAATACTTTTAAGGCGCAGTGAAGCACGCCGGGTATTTGCTAGTATATAATATTTTGGCGCTAAAACTTTTGCTAAGGGTTTGGCCGAGCTTCTCCTCCAATTTTTGGTGTGCGTCTCGATGTTGTTTCACAAATTGATAGTTTAACGCCGCCTCGAAACGGCGATTGTATTTTTATGAGAAGTCTTTTCATGCCTGAAATACACTAGGGGCTGGTTTCTCCAACTCAACTTAACTTAGTTTAGTCACTTTTTGGACTTAAGTCAAAAGTTAGCCTACGTTTTACACAGCTTATTCATGACTAAGTCAAGAAAATTGGCTTAACTAAGTTAAGTTGAGATGGAGAAACCAGCCCTAGGAGAGGTTTGCCATTGCCTGGCAAGGGGAGCGACCGCTGTCAAAGAAAAACTTTCCATGTAGTCTGATTTAATTTTCAGCTGACCTAACGTCTACGGGTTGGCCTTNTCCTAGGAGAGGTTTGCCAATGCCTGGCAAGGAGAGCGACCGCTGTCAAAGAAAAACTTTCTATGTAGTCTGATTTAATTTTCAGCTGACCTAACGTCTACGGGTTGGCCTTCATAAATACAATACTATTCAAGTACGCTACACGCTTTCACGTTAAATTTCCAAAGATACATTCATGTCTCGCTTTTGTAGAAATACTCAAACAAGGCTTCAAAGCAAAAAAAAAAAAAAATTAACAGAAAATATTTCAATTAGACAACAATCAATTGCAGTCGCCTTCTTTTGTCTTTGATTAACGCTTAATTAAGTTTTGAAACTTTTCGCGGGCGAAATGCGTTTTTAATTGTCGGTAAGTTGTCGACATTGATATCTGTATGTATGTATGTATATACGTTTTCGAGTAGTAGTTAGCAATATTTAGGAGTCTGTTAGTCAGTTCATTGTAACTTTATACACAAATAAACCCTTTTTTGTGTGTGAGTGTGTGTGCATACAGTCAGCAGCAAAAATATACATACCCTGGCGTTTTGACGATTTTATTTGTTTATAGTTTCCCTACCAAATTTTTCTTAATATTTTTTTATAAAAATATATGTAGTTCATCCAACAGCAAAGCCCTCAAGAGTCAATATTTATAATTTCATACAGAACTCAGGAAAATGCAAGAAATACCAAGAAATTTTTTTATCGAAATGTAAAGTTTTTCAGTGCGATTTCATAGAAACATTTTGAAAGTACAGTCTACTAACCCACTCAATTTTAGTTTAATAAAGTGCAAGTTTCAAAACTATCGTTGATTTTTGAGACTTTTTTGTGGAGGGTGTACGTATCTTCTTCTATATAAAAAAAATTATTCTTGGAGTTTTTGCTGTTGAATTAACTATATTTTTTATAAAAAAAAAAAGAAAAATTAAATATGTAAATAAAATCGACAAAACGTCATGACGCCTATTTTTGACGCTGACTGTGCTATATCGCAGACAATATCGGTGCAGTGAAAATGTCGCATCAACTTAATTTTTGTACTTTTTACTCCTATTTGGTTGCCAGCTGGCGATGAGCCACCACCATCTCTACCATTATTCTCCCGCTGCTCATCCCGATCAGTTATTCGACTAACTTCACAACAGTAAATACTCGTAGTATGTACATATGTATGTATGTATCTGTATGTTTTAGTTCTATTTTGTCTACTACTTTCTTTCAACGCTTGGTTAGTTGACTGGCAAGTATTTTCTTTTAGTTCTTTTTTTTTGTGTTTCTTGCTTTTAATTTTGATGTTGTTTTAGTTTTTGCCTTTTACTTACCACGGCACACGAGATGCGCCCACCCACTCGTGAACGCCACGCGCGATAGACCTTGTATCGTGTCGCTCCAGTTGCGAGGAAACCAACGAACAGTATCATAAAGCCAAGCGCCGCCATTCCCGCAGCAATTATGACGAAAATCATTTGAATCGCTTCAATCCTGCAAAATGAAATGAATGCGCAATTAGAGTTGGTTACATTTGTCGCAGAAATATCCGTTTTGGGTGCATTTTTATGTGCTGTTAATGTATACTTAAATGCAAAAATTATCCGTATTATATCAATGTTGTATGCATAATTGCAGAGGGAATTTTAATACATACGAAAAAGCAAATAAATCAACAGACATTATATTAAAAAAAAAACTTTACCTTTAAGCCGAATCTTAATTCCAATTTCGTTCTTAGCGCTTGGCTATTCAAGGCATAAACTTAATGATAATTTGCTGAAAATTATTCGCGGATTATACGATCTCTAATTTTGGTTGCTTTGGAACATTTTCTGTTGCTCGTTTCTGTAACAATTCTCTACCAAGGCAAATTCATATATGAATTCGCCGCCTTGTTCTCTACTGCTAATGAGTAGTAGAGAATGACGTATATTCTCTACCAGTAGAGAAATAATCGGTAGAGAGGAGTTACAGAAACGAGCTACTGGTTAGAGAGTTGTAGGTATCTTTGGCTAACTGTAGATCCACTCTTCGCTATATGAGGGCGAAAAATAGAAGGAAATCTGAAATAATCCAGTTGCAAGATCTTTGAGGGCGGCATTGGATCGGAGGCGATGGAAACAGCTTCTTAGGCTCGCAGATGCAAATAAATGATGAGCTTAAATCACCTCAACATTTTTTAAAAACTAGCCAAGTTTTTGCGAGAAACGATCATATTCCATACACGGCTGGGACGTTATGTGAGATAATGACTACATTTATTATTATTAAATATAAAGTAGCTTTCAATTGAGACAGTCACTACGTAAAAGTCCACTCTCTAATGTTTGGTGGATGTTCGAGACGACCAGTTCGGAGGAAATCTGGCAAAAGCCGTCCCAGCTTTCCGAGTTTTGCATTAGAACTTGAGTGTGCACACGTAAAAAACCCAACTGGTACAGGAGCTCAAAGCTCAAAACCAAAAAAAAGTTGGGGTTAACCTCAACGACAAGCGCTACAGAACGATAGCAGCAGATTATGTTTGGTTGGAGTTGAGCAATAAGGGTATAGAAACTACGTTGGGGATGCTGCATTAATGATTTGAACATGTGGTTTTCTTTTGCTTAGGTCACACGAACTTGGCCATCAAGATCCTGCGATTTTACCCCAATAGAGTTTTTGTTGTAGGGTTTTGTGACTTTGCATGTATTTACCAATGGAACACCTAAAGGCCCCGTTGAGCTAAAAAAAGTGGGCGTGCCCGCCCGCTTTTTCTGACTTGAATGGCATATTTTTTTTGGTGAAAATTAACAAACTAAAACTTAAGTGGATCTCCAGCTTTTTTTGAATTGCTTTTAATTGCTTCAATTGCATAAATAACCTGGGAGTGACTTTTCTCGTTCAAGCTAAACGCAAAGCAGTATCGTCCAATTGGAGAGTTCTCAAAAGGATTTCCCAGGCTATGTTAAAGACTATTGCATTTACCTATAGTCAGTTTTTCACATAATGGAATTAACTAAAATATTTATGTATATCTAAACACTTATTGCACACCCCCTACTTTCGTATAACGGCAAATTTAAAAACTGCGAAAAATATGCTTCTTCGGTGACTAATGAAACCATTCCACACCAATTTTCAAGACTGCATAAATGGACTCAAAAAGTGGCGTTTCTCACCCTAATTGTATTATGTTAATGTATCTAATACTTATATGCTTGAAACTACTATTAACTCATCTAACGATTCCTAATCTTTGACAAAACATGCTTGACTTCATTCACCACGATCTTGAAAACTGACCAGATCGGCGTGACCAAGTCCATGGTCCCTTTAATATTATATAAACATCCGAAATTATTAAAATGTTTGAAATAAATTTCGTCTCACATTTCTTGTATTTTGCACTTCGTTGCTGAAGTAATGAAGAATTGAAAACTCATCAGGGAAAATTATAGTTTTTGTAAGTTTTATCTTAATATCTTAAGAACTTGTAGACTTATTTAAAAATGATAAATGAACGTGAGGTGCTAAATTTAATAACCCATAATTTGATATATCGTCCTTTTTATAAAAATTTAGTCATTCTATAGATATTACAAACCAAAGTTTTATTCTCAAAATTCATACAATTTCATTCAATCGCACGGGCTAAAGATAAGTTTTAAATTAATTTTTCGTGGCCAATAACAATTGGCGTAGATCCAAGACATCATCATATTACTAAATATTACAATACGGTCAAATGTCTTTTATTTTCCTCCATACAAAATCGACCCAGCCTAATGTATATACCTAACAGGACTGAAAGTGAGCTGCTCCCCAAAGGAGCAAGTAGGGAGCAGTACAAAAGTAAAGTAAACAAAAATATTTAATTTCTATCAATGCTCAGAAATAAATATCACTTTGATTAGTAACATAAAATATTTTCTTTTGAAAAAAAGTTAATTTATGTATGTATGTATGGGTTTTCATATGTATATCATAATAATAAAGCCATCAAACGGTTAAAAAAAAGACGCCATTATTTTATTAAAACAAAAATATAATACAAAAATTTAAATTTGCATGCATCGCTTTTTAAATGCTTTACTTGAGCGCTTGCCAAGGGCTTCTTTTGATGACACACATGGTTCAAATACAATTAAGTGTGAAATTAGGAAGGGAGCGCTTACTGCTGATTATGGAGCGCTCCAATAGCACAGATGGAGCGCTTGTAGCCCCGATGGGTACAGCTACATACATATGTATATGTACANCAGCTACATCGCGACTGCAGAGCGGGACAGTTGAAACTTGCGGTGTAAGTGTACAAATTCTCACTTCCCGTACAATATGAAAGTAGCTCAGCGAGAAGACCTCCGACTCAAGCATCGTTGGTCGCGAGTTCAAATCGCGGTGGAGGCAGTTGTGAGTTTTCAGATTTAATGAATTTAAATTGTTGCGTGTCGCTTACAATAAATTTTTTTTTTATAAAAAATGTAACAAACGTGGAATCTGTAAAAGAAAAGAAAAAACGGAAGAGATATCCAAAAATCGAATCTTAAAAACGGTTTCTTATAAAAAAAAAACTGTCCAAAACGGAACCGGTTGAAAACTAGTTGCAAAGTAATGTACAGGGCGACAATTGCCACCGCTAATGACATCGACATGTAAAACTGAACAGTTGAAAGCATTGCTTGGGTATTGGGCTAGATCTAGTTCTATGCTAGTGAGATTTTCTGCAGGGAAAACTCGAAAACCCGCATAAATTTACCCCCATACCTCAGCATGTATCCGTAAACAGCTGCACATTTCTCAATCGTATTCTGTCAAACACCACGTAGTTTTAGACACACATCAGAGTGTGGACGATGTAATTGTAATTATCGTATGCACATTAACACATTTGGTTTAAAATTAACAACATCCAAATACTGATGGACCATTTCGTATGGTCAGCCCATCAGCAGGATGATACAAATTATACTGACATACAAATAGAAATATACCGATAAACCACTATACCCCGATAAGTACAGATATGAATACTCACCAAATTAGATGCAAATGAAATACTTGATCCATCATAATCACCGTCAACGAGGCGCCACGATACATTGTGCCACAGAATATGCCAACGCCAAGCAGACACATAAGTGTCGCTATTAATGTGGCATAAGGAATGCGGGACATACATGATTGACAGCAGTCACCTGTAATGAAGGAGGAAGAGAGAGAGAGAATAGATGAGTAGGGTGGAATAATGCACAAATCAGGTATGGAGTTAAATATAAAGGTACAGTTCTACATAAACATAAGTATGATCCATCTATGAACATATGTACATCTATACATATACATACATATAAATTTAACCTAACCTACCTAGCAAGAATGACCTAACGCATGCAACAATACACTAACGAAATTGTCAATAAAAACCAACACATTTGCATATTAGCCATATCCATATGCCATTCTTTGCGTTATATAACATCGCATAATAATATTTGATTGAAAAGAGACAACTACATATACCTGAATTAGAGAAAAAACGCTTTGAAGATTTGGATTGTAATGTTAACATTATGGGGAAACCAAAATATTTTCATCTATAACTTTTTCAATAGCCTAGGTAACGAGATGGAAGTTTCACAAACACATGGAATAGTAGTTGCAGAAATCGATAGCATATATAACTTAATTCTTTCTTAAGCGGTTATTGCTATGCTTATTTGGGTATGGCTTGCAAAATTGGTTGTTTTCATGGATATATGCCAGCATTTTAATGATTTGAACGTAAAGCTTTAAGGCTCTAATAAAGAAGAACTTTATAACTTTATAGTTATGATGGATAGATCTCGTTCGTGCTTTTTAGGCTAAACTGAAAGTTATTGGTAAAGATATTGACGCGTATTCATAGTCGAAATAAAGTCGTTTCTAAATTTAGTAGCAGCCTTTTTGGGAGATATTACATTGATAATTATGTCAAAAAGTTGCAATTCACTTTAGTGTCGTCTTTTTTTACTATTATTATTTCCACATTTAAAATCATATTTGGATTTAGATGAAAAACCAGACGGATCAAGATTCACTGAAGAGTTTTCTGTGGTAATAAATTCATTCATCGACGAATTTTCATCGAGGTTTTCTGAATTCAAGGCGGTATGGGAAACATTCAAACTTATTATGTATCCTGATGTGACTTCACTTGATAAACTGAACTTGTTTAAGTTGCTAATACTAAAATGTCTGCAGAAGCTGGCGTTTGCACACAAGGTACACAGAGACATTTAAGAGACGAATAATTCGTTTTTTTTTTACATTATTTAAGTGTCAACTAATGTCTCCAAGAGCGGTGATACGTTACGACCTCTTTTTGGCACGTCATGGCTACATTGAATAATTCTTTAGCGATAATGGCACGTGTATGTATAAAGGTTCGCCGTGCCTGGCCTAGGACATGGCCTTGTAAAAGTAATCGATGAAATACACTGCAAGTAGTCGGCCGGTAATTGACGGAGTTTACCAGGTAGCTACCGATTCATCAGTCCTGTAGTCGCTCCCCGGTACAGCAGGGTAGCTTACTTTAAGTACATACATACATAAGTATGTATGTGAGTGTAAAGATTTGCTTATAGTGCGGGCATTCATTCATAGTTCTACACAAATTGTATTAAGTCGCACCACATTGTGTAGAAGCATTCGAGAGCCAAAGCATTTCAATAGGTTATTGCGATGATTGCATTGCCAATAGATTGGTGCAAAATTGAGGTATGACTGTGCACATGCATATGTATACCCATTAGAGTGGTAAAAAAAAAAAATCCGAGATTGCTTTCGGGGCACCATCCAAAATATTTCCACTTGCTGAAAGTGGTGCTGGCATCAATCTTTACGTTTCTCTGTATAAATTTAGAGGATTATCCTGAAATGTTTATATTTTACTCTAGAAGGATATTGTACAATTGGCTAAGCAATCTAAGATAATTTCAAATTTAAATTAGCTGAAAAAATATTACAAGCTTCAGTTGTCATGGCAAAAGGAGCTTTTTATAAAAATTATAAATATTTTTGTTAGTTACCAAATGATTAAGTAGCGCAATTTCAAGGACATTACGCACCATATATTGGTTACAGTAGAAAATTGAAAGTTGGTATAGTCGATACAAATACCAAAAAGAAAAAATTAAGGGGTGCCCCTTTTCTGCGAAGACATTTCAATCCAAAAGTGACAATTCGATCATTCAGATATTCCATATCATTTATTTACTCATTGGATTGGTCATCGCCAACGAGTAAACTTTCTTTGAGTAACGTCCCTTTGAGTAACACCTGGTTATGCCTTGGCTCCAAAAGAGAGATCTGCAGAATGGTACTTTCATTGATGGACGAACATTGATGACAATAGAGGAAGTCGATTAGACTTAGAGCCTAGTAAACGAATACTAAACAGAAGACTAGGGATAAAACGATACCATGTAGGTATCGATACCTTTACTTGAAAGCAGTGTCGTAAGAAAGTATCAATACACGAAAAATATCGGATCTAAAGTATCGATACCTACTCGTATCGCAATGCAGTTTCAAATCCATATTTCTTTGGATTTTTATTCTTTTGACTTAAGAACAGCTTAAACAAATACTTTGAATAGATCTTTTGGTACTTAGCCGCCACCAAATTGATTTCCTGATGAAGGAAGAGCAAAAATATCTGTTAAAAAAGTTCATTTTATACTGGTTTCAGGAAAAAATTTACGTCTTCAATATTTGAAGGTCGCTGGCACTGTGAGATTTATATTAGTGGAGGAAAAAATCCGAAAGAAAATTCGCCTACTCAGTACTTGGTTCAAAAGTATCGATGCCAAAATTACTTGGTATCATTTCATCCCTACAGAACACTGAAATGGCATCTAAGCTCCTCTAAACGCATAGAAAACCTTGTGAGTTCAGACATCGTTGCAAATTTGAACCTTTGAGGGCACCGTGATACAGTGGTGTTGGCGATCCGGGGGTTTGTTGCAGCAGTGTTTAATGGGATCGGAGCCAATAATAGGACCAAACATAGCGGAAGCCGAGAGATACATCAGAGATCGCATGACTGAGAATCATGAGAACCGTTGTTGCAATACTCCACCACAAAAAAATAACCACAGGTTTTCTGAAAAAAGCTAGACAAGGTGGTGGCGAGAGGGATTCAGCTACGAGCCCTAATAGCACTGATTAAGGGGCATCGTTGACCTTATTTAGAGGATGAGCATAGTACAGAGAATTTTTTCTGCCAATGGCCGGCATTTGCCTGACTGAGATGGGTTTTAGGTCGGACGTATTGAGTTACATGCTTTTTCCGTTGTAAAACTACTGAGATTCATAAAAGGGCATTAAGTAAAAGACCAGGTCTGCCCAGTGCTTGGTAAAGCATTTTACATTTTCCGGCAAATTTCATTCCGCTCTATTCTATTCCATTCCATTTCATTCCAAAGAGAACATATTCAATGGGAAGCTCTTAAATGCTTGTTAAATCGTTTTGGGTTTTCCTACTAATTCCACTCCATTACATGTGATTCCAAAGAGAAAACATACGCGGAGCAGTAAAATCTGGTTCTCGCTGTTTTTCCTGTGGCCGGGGTTTCTGGTCTGCGGCTATGCGATGTTGTGTGGAAGCAGATATACATGTCTAATTTGTCTAAACCACTCGTAAATGCAATTATGTAACTCTCCTGAACTGGATGAACGGTGAACTAGTGGTCCTAAAGCCTCGATGTTACAGCAGGCTTTGACATCGATGAACCGACTTTCCAAGATCTTTACAGCATAACACTCCTATACTAATTGGACGAAAGTAAACGCACTTGTTCGAACTTTCTCCTTCTGGAACAGCTAAGTGTAGGGTCATTGGGTCAGAGATTTCCGAAAGCTGCTCGCAGTGAAGCTGAGGTAGTAAAGCATTCCTTAAGCTTCGCTAAATCTGATGCATCTACGCAGAAGGTAATTTTGCCCCAAATTTGGGAGAACTCGACGTCTGTTAGGGAAAAATGTCAAACGTAAAAAAGTATTCTACAACATGCGAAGGCAAGAGCGGTTCCAATGGAAGGAATATAGTCGCCGGTATGCTTACCATACTACAGATGCCGAAATCATAAATAAACCTTGAACAGCAATTCCCTTACTGGAAACGACAGGGGCAAGCGACTTCAAAGCAACAATGGCGTTCAATGAAAAGAAGTTATAATTCCTACAGTTAGACGATGAATGAAAGTCCTCCGAAGCTGAGCCCTGCTTTGGTCACCAGGGTTCAAAAAGGAGCTGGAAAGGAAAAAAACGAAGATCTTATGTTCTGCCTTTCAACGCCACATTGCAATTAGCGACCAATTTCACTCTGTAGAAAAAGTTTGCTATGAAAAATTGGTTTCTGTTGGAAGAAACAAAATTTTCTTTTACTTTCGAATTTCTTCTGGATCGCCCTAGTATACATTCATACATGCTGCACATTCAACATCCTTTCCCAACATTTCACTCCAGGTTTGCATTCGCAAAATAGGTCTGTTGATATTTCATCAGTAACCAGCTTCCAACTATGCAACAAGCATTAGGAAGCGAGCTACAGCTACCAAGTACACGCTTACATAAATATTTATCGACGAAGGTGCACATTTCTATGTACATATGTACATACATACATATTCACACATATTTAAGCATTTTATTGATTGCTTGCGAAGGAAGAGCAATAAAGCACAGGTACTCCAACATAATAGGATAGGTATGAACTTACTATGTGTTGAATGCGATTTTTTAGAAAAATATTTGAAAAATACATAGTTGAAAATGTGTACATACATACATATGTATAATAGCATGCAACTAGGAAGAGTTGTAGTTGTTTTTATAGCGATATGTAATTAAAAAAAATGATTTGTAATGCATTTTTTCAAGTTCAAAGACCATGTAATAAGTGTTGATAAATCAAATTTATTGAGTTTGAATTATAAAAAATACGTTTGATTTATATATGTATGCTAGAGCTTCATTTGCGTTTAATGCTGTGTAACGAGGCGTATGAGTAATATTAATTTTCACATAAAATGTTCATTCGAGTATGAGTGCTTTGTGATTCATAATTGACACGTCAAAGGGTAATTTCGTTTAACATGTTTTCCCTTTTTTGCATGAAATAACATGTGCACACTTTTTTTTTTATCTATTTTAGAAA